GATTATTTAGAACATGGGCACTATGATGTAGGTGTCTGTTTGTACATTGGCGTTAATAAAAAGTGAGTAATGAGGCAGTGTTGCCGGTCTGTCATCTTTGCTGTTTGCACTGGGCAAGCTGAAAAGTTCAGTACTGGCAAACAAATGTAGCGACTATAAAGGAATAATAATTGTGATCTGAGACCACAATGCAGTATGTATCTATTTCCGATCATCGACTGACCTCAGTATTGTATCCGTCGCTGTAATTGAATATTGGAAATCTCGTTTATAATCGGATGAACAAAATTTAGTGTAGGATAGAGAAAGGTCTCTACCCGTCATTATGTTGGTGCCCTTTTGTCGGAAATCGAAATACTGGTTATTTTGTTTACTAACGGATGACAATGAATTTGACATATTTATGAGGCAAAAGTACAAGTGTTTTTGTAGGTAACATTCACTTACATGCTTTTCACCTACGTGGATCTGACATTTATATTTGATCAAGATTCCGAACATCTTACGCTGTTGTAAGTAAATGTCTTTGAAAACTATAGTGCTGCTGTAAAGAAAATTAATCTGAAATAGCACAAAATACGACAAATCTTCAAACATAGAACCAAAATTTCAATTTCTTTGGTTTTGCGTTTCTAAAAGTGCAATTGGAAAATTATCAAGGTCGGGGAAAAAATTATCGACTTATGTTTTAATAACTTAGCGTAATGATACCATTTGACATAAATCTCCAAATGTATATTATTTAACTCAATTTAATCTCCACGATTCAAATGTCCTTAATGAAAATTGCATTTTCTTTAAATTAGCTATAATATATAAACATTCTTATTGTTTTAATCTTGTTGTTTTAACAAAAATAAAAAAACAGGGTAAAGAGAAAAGTATCGTTTTTAAATTCCATCCTTTCGCAAATGCGTGAACATTTGGACTGGAAACATTATAAGTTTATAACTCTCAGACCATCAAACATTTTTAATATTCAATAGCATTGATGCAGTCCCTGTTGCATTAGCCAGATTCTTGATTTGAGTTTTAAAAGTTAACACACTATTTTCACAACTGCGAGATATTTTTTTCTTCTAAAGTTAGCACTTTACCACACACGATATTTACTTCCCAGATAGGATTACTCTTAATCCAGAGACATGTTACGTTGTGTTTTAAATCAACACTACATCCCCAAAGAAACAAAACACACAAAAAGGACAAGAAAATAATAATTAAATAAATCGACATCATATGGAGGTTACAAACTCTACTACATAAATTCTTAACCTTACTGGTCTTTCGCTACAAGTAAATCGGCTCGGAAAGATTCAAGTTATTGTATTCCTTGTTTAGCTTTTGGTTAGATTAGAACCCATTAAACATAAACTCCGAAAACGTACCGAGGGTATTAACACTAGACTATCACACGTCATCAGTCAGACAGGCTCTACCACTAATTGCTGTCTATCAATCGTCGTTAATTCCTTGTCCACCCAACGGATAACACAATTATCAACACTAGTACTTGACTCTCAATTGTTACTTTGCAAGACCGCTTTATGCCCAATATCTGGGATTAAAAAGCTAACAAATAATAAAGACCATTGCAGAAATTTTACACGCATGCACTAATTTCCTTGTACACGAGAAATAATATTTTCAATGCAATATTTGGAATGCAGTTCCTGACATTAAAAAAATTTATGATTACAAATTCACATTACGTAATGCTGAAATTGTAATGTATATTTTATTTGTATTGTACGTTGGTTTTCGTCAATTATTATATGTTTATTTAATTTGTATTGTGTAACTGACCTTTGTCCATAACTGCGGGAAGAAGTTGGGGTTACTAGATGATTGGTTTTTTTTTTTTAAACAACATATTACAAAGCTAATCCGTGACTATGACATTTTATTATATATAATATCATTACTTCTCGCAGGCAAACATGTTTAAAGATGTTGAAATTAAGGTCTAGATATTTTTAGAAATGAAGAACATATCTATCCATATCGTACAAGGCTTTGAGCAAATACGGTAAACAAAACCAACCAAAATAGCAAGTACCCGTTTATATCAAGTTAAGCGCAAATAAGTTAACCGGATCAGATAATTTCATACTGACGAAACAATACGTTGAAAAGAAAAGAACAACACAAATAGTCCAACAAAGGAGAGGGTATCAGCTTAAGAGCAGATCAGATTGCAAATAAAGGTAGTTTCATATTACGTTTGCTTGTAGGAGTAGCCTGACCACGATAACTTGATATAGTCATTGGTTGAGCGTAAAAGAAAGAACGAACAAGAGATTGCATCTACCTGGACCATTACACTAAATAACTTCGATATAGAGGAAATACGATCGCATTTATTTTTTGTTTCTTATTTTTTTCTTTTCGAATAATAAACTGCGTAGCATAATAAAAAAAACCCGACGAATGTTGCGTGATAGATATCAAAAAAGCCAAGCGAGGCAGATGTTAGTATCATTTTTTGAAGTCTTTGGTATGACTCAGCCGGAGTTCGAACCCGCGACCTCCCGCATCCGAGGTGGACATTCTAACCACTAGACTCGTTTCATATATTAAATATTAAATCATTGCCCATCTGAGATCCTCTATATACAGCGCGACTCTGACAATGAAATGATGAAAGAGAAAGAAAAGAGGATTACTCACAAAAATTATTTAGATGATCTTGGTAGAATAGCATTTGCGCGGATGAGAGTGCATGATAAGGTCGGATCACCATAGTCATTAAACACACACACACAGACACACACACGTACGTTCGTACGAACGCATGTATGTATGTATGTATGTATGTATGTATGTATGTATGTATGTATGTATGTATGTATGTATGTATGTATGTATGTATGTATGTATGTATGTATGTATGTATGTATGTATGTATGTGTGTGTGTGTGTATGTATGTATGTATGTATGTATGTATGTATGTATGTATGTATGTATGTATGTATGTATGTATGTATGTATGTATGTATGTATGTATGTATGTATGTATGTATGTATGTATGTATGTATGTATGTATGTATGTATGTATGTATGTATGTATGTATGTATGTATGTATGTATGTATGTATGTATGTATGTATGTATGTATGTATGTATGTATGTATGTATGTATGTATGTATGTATGTATGTATGTATGTACGTAACATATTAGGACTTTTAGAGAGAGCTAAGATAATGAATATTTCCTTCATCAGACGAGTTTGTAGAAGTTCTGTATCGCTATTATATGTGGACGTTATAATAAAATGTAAATTAAATTGACTTTAGATGATGAGTATGAACCATTCCAATCTTAAAATGATATTTACTCACCTTTTACATCGAAATGCTCAATATAAAAGGCGTAATAATGATGGGAAAGATTATTAATGTAAACTGTTTTCATTTGGGAGTTTTGGTTAAATCAGAGAGCAGCCTGAAAATTACTACTTGCAACTGTGGACGAACTGTAATGATTTGTCAATTATTCAATAAAGCACTATAAATTATAATAAATGATAAAGATAAAACTGCTTGTCACAAAATACCTACATCCAAAAGAAATAGACTCTCTTACGCGTCTTATGAGTAGAAGAAAAAAAAGCAAGACCATATTCACATAATTATTACTCAAACAATACGTTAACCGAGAAAGAAAAGGCTGTTTGTGAAAGAAGGTCACAAAAATTTATGGAATGAATAGTAATTGACGGTTTGGTTCTAATAAAAAAAAGCAAGGATTGATTTATTGATTATCTTGCGCCAATCACCAAAAACGTACATCAGTTTCATCATAAATGTAAAGCAATCATCGTGTCATATTTTCTAAGCCCCAGCTCTAAAATCATGCACAAGCTATAATCTACCTTTTCTGGGAATACTACCAAAGCCTTGTATTGATCTCTAAAGTTTGCCGAACTCGTACCCCAGGTTGCCATGATCGATCAAAGACCGGAAACTTTGATTGGGAAAGGCGACCAACAGTCACTTAAAGTCTTGCCGTTATCACACCAATATAGTAAAGGTTAGTTCAAGGCTCAGAAGTACGGTCCACGGTGTAAACGAGACGTCTTCTTATCAGTTCCCACGTTGACAGACAGCGAGAGGGACATTGTGGGCTAAGTTTGATTCAATCGATTCAAAGCGATATCTAATCGAAATTGAGGTAGAGGATGTGATTACAATTCAGACACGAATGATGCCTTCCAAAATTGTAAGGGTAATTTAGTATTCTCCTAGAAGGATTGTAGATCAATAGGATCTACTACGAGGAAGGAGCCACTAGTAAACTGGCGACAGAACATAGAGGTAGATTCTAAGTGAAGACAAAGCTTCGAAAAGGTCAGAAAGTTATTTGCTCGATTTTGCAGAATATCACTGCATCATAAGTGTAATTATTTGTAATATATCTACTTAATTACTAGGATCGTTTAGTATGTAGAATTACCTTTGCAGTGTTTCATTTTCATGCGTATTTGAGAAATGTGCTTGAGCGTTCGTAGAGAATTATTAGATGCGAGGTGGAATTAGGTAGATTGTTAGCTTGTGATCATAACTAGTTTTGTAATTCGCTATTAGATTACTTTGTCGTAAACCAGTGCATTTATTAATGCGTTATGTTAAAATTTACACAGGGTTAAATTGTGAATTTGGAAACATGGTTGAAGTATGTAAGATTATTTACTATGGACATATGCATATATTAACGTATGAATATTTGAATGTTTGTGTATTGTGTAAAAGTGTAAGGTAAATTAATGCATTTGATTATTGTGATATTATTTAGTATAACGGTATTACGAATATGTACTGATGTGACTGAATTTATTGATTTATGTATAATAAATAATTGATGCTGTGCTGTATTATGACGTTATATGATGATAGTCTGTAATTAGTATGAGATGAAATGGACTAAGGAAAAAGACTGTTCTGTCCTTGTGTTTTCACAGAAAGTTTTTTATAGGACAGATAACTTCTGGTTTGCATTGGGTCCCACCTCTTCAAGAGTTGGAGACGGAAATGAGATTGTAGTCGAGACTATTGAAGTCAACAGAAGTGTAGTCGTGGGAGAGAAAGTGGAGCAGAAGTAGTCTATCGTAAGTCAAGGAGGAGGAGGAGGAAGAGAAGGAATTAGGAGGAAGGTCGGAGAGGAAGAGGAAAAGGAATTGGGAGAAATAGGAGAGAGGAATGCTGCAACAGACGATTAGAAATACAAGGAGAGGTAGAAATCAATCTCACATTGCTAATCAAGTGATGTAATATGCTTATTTAAGTGTCGAGCGGAAGGGGTGTAATTGAAAATTTTAGTCATTTGATTATTGAATTGTTATTAAATTGTTATTCACTGAATTTCAAACTTTTTTGTATATTTAACCATCTAACCGTCGGCATAGCCGACTGGGAGCTCAGTGCACTACATCTATATCTCACTAAATTTAACTTCAAACAAAATATAGCCTGGGTGAGACTTCAATAATAGTTTAAAGAAAATACCCCACCCCCTTATATAGATATATATATATATATATATATATATATATATATATATATATATATATATATATATATATATATATATATATATATATACTTCGTTAAACATCGTTTTTGTCTGAATTTATTGTTTTTTTCTCCTTTCACAAAACAGTCAAAGTACGATCGACTGTCAATGTTCTGCTGATTTTCTAGGTTGTCATAACCAGAATTAGTATTAACAATTTCTGTAACGTTCTTCACAAGTTTAGGAGTTACCTTCCTCTGTCTTCATTCTTGATGGCGCTATACAGTTTCGCATTTGGAAGTTGTTTGAATTGTACAGAAAAAGAATTTCCCTGGGTTTCTCACTGGTTATACTGGATATTTAAAATAAAACCTTATATATTTTAGGTGTTATTCAAAGAACCTTTAATTCCCCCTTTTCCGGTGTCTGATCAATGGGCATTATAGGGGTTATGGAGTATACAGCTTAGCTTTACTACAGATGTGCAGAGTTCAAAAACTGCTAGCTCCACTTGGTCATTTTCATTTATGTAACTTATAGAGGTAAATTGTTAAAGAAGAGCCGATAACTTTTTCACATTTTATATATTTGATAATTTATTCATTGTACTTTCAGACGTTGATATTGTTTAGTCTAGCAAAATTCATTTTCGGTGCTTTTATAACTGCTAAAGATAGCGTACTTTAGACTTATTTAGGCTAATGTTTTATCATAAAGGAGCATTTTTAGTCAATTTAGTTAGCAGTGTGGTTAGATAATTTACAATTTCATAATGTACAAGATTCACAGAAATGTCAGCCACATTGCATGCAAGTAGCATAGAGGAATACCAATATTCTTTCCACTTTGCTTTTTGTTAAAATGCAAACAACTTCACATTATATACGTCACTCTCGCAAAAGTACATAACAACTGGTGATCATCTCCCCTTAGAGCGTTAGCAGTCATCTATCTTGAATTCTGCTCGTTTTGATTTGCAGCTGCATTTTCTTTTTGTTTCCAGCTTTTATCTCAATCACGTAGGCCAGTTTTAAATTTATTATTTACCTTCGTTGCATTTTGCAGTTTTTATGTCACATGAGGATTTTCTAATTGTATGGATTCACTCATCCTATCAGTTCTCATGTCAGTTTCTTTACTGTCTTTTTCCCTGCTACTGCCGTTTTCTTTCTGAAATATTATGTACTTTTTCTTGACAATCCCTACAACGTAGTGTTTATAATTTCAGTACTATTATCTCGTCTCTTAATATCTGCAGTAACAATTGTGACATAGGATTTTGTAACGGTCCTTCTGCGGCTTCCTCAAAGCCTAACTGAATAACAATCAAGCACGAATCAGTCAAACGCATGTCAGCTGCATACACCAGAAAAATACTCTGTGATCAAGCTTTTATTATTTGCATTTGGTTCTTCTTTCCTTTTGTCCTTGTCGGTAATTGCACACGTAGTACATACTGATGGAGTTATGCCAATGTTTTTATTTAGCCACGTTTACCTAGCATTTACCCTCAAAACATATGTTTATACTCCCAGCATTATAGTCACGATTATATTGTGCTGAGTGCTAGGTATGAAACTATAAACCATTTTTTAAAATTTAGATACAAGTTGCTTGCAAAATGCATTTAGACCATTTATCCGTATTCCCAATAAATAACAAGATCGAGAATGAGCTGAGACAGCTATTAGACTTATATTGGTCTCCATTAATCGTAAAAGGAAGAAGAGATGGAATAGCTTTTGAATTAAAAATACCTACCCATCCGTGATTCCGTTAAACAACAACTACAATCACGTCCGGAATCTCAAATTGAATTTGCAGAGGATGAAAAACAATTATTTAAATCTATCCCAGAAACCACTAAAGGTCTTCTTCCTGTGTTTGAAAAAAAAAACAACAGCTGAAGCAACTAGAAAAATAGCAGAAAAACGAAACAAACAAAAAGGTAAAGGATTTTATGTGGGCTTTCAGCTGATATAACTGCTGCTCAACAAATACTTATATCTGATGCAAAAAATACAAAAATAAAGATTAACTAGGCTAATAGA